CTTTTAATGACCAGGGTTTTTACACCACTTGAATTGGTGATTAGATTTATGATTTGCTCCATTGAATTCTTTTCCAATTTTAGTAAAAGGTGTAAAATTTTTTATTCTCTTTACAGATACGAAACATTAGTGGGAACAATAGGGAAGAAATTTTTGAGAAAGAGAGACCAACGTGTACTCAAGGATGATGATGATGAAGATGGTGAAGTTGATGAAGATAGGAATAGTAACATAATACCTAGGAAAAAAGCTAAGAAAATGTTCTTAAAACCTCAGGATTAATGTCAGCTGCACAAGTGGAACCAATAGAAATGTTACCTAATGCCTGCCAAACACGAACTGGAGGTTGTTTGGAGATTTTGCTATTTGTAAACCTGTTCTGTTCTCACTGAAATGTCAGCCATCCACGACAGACATTTTTCGAAGTGGATGTGTCACAATGGATGTTATACATCCTTTCCTCCCTCAGCAGCTTTTAATGTGCGGGGCACCGACCCCACCAGTCTCTTTAAATGTTGTGCACAACCAGATCAGGTATCTCATGCAATGGAGAGCACTGTTATTTACAATTTAGGCTAACATCTGAAAGAACTATTCAAAGTAAAGATGAGCTGTGTCCAATTCAGCAAGGCAGTTCAGTTTCCACTGCTTTCTTTATAATGAAAATGAAAACCTTTACTGTCATCAAATTGAAAAAAGTCAGCAGAAACATGGGGGTTTTGTGATTTTTTTTTTTTAACTGTGCTATAAATAAGATGGGAAAAGAACAGAGAGATAAAATCCACCTTATTGAATTTTATTTTTTATAAAGTTTATTTAAAAATAGAGGATTTTGTAGTGCAACTTTTTTTTATAGAGCAAGCCAAATATTGGGCAACGTTTACAATTTGACATTTGAGCAGATTGTGAGTCTTAGTTTCTGTCTTCTAAAAGAAGTTTGCTAATCTTGCCTCTTTTTCAGCAAAAAAAAATTCAATCTTATAATTATCCAAGTCTTGTCGTAAAAGCATAATAACGGCTTCTGAAACATTCCTGAGAGCTGAATAAAAACTGTGGGGGTTTTGTGCCTAATGATTGTGGTTTAGCTTATTTAATGTTAAAAAAAAATGATGCTTCCTACAGTCTGATATAAGAAGTGATCCTGTTTTGTGCTGGCCACAGATGTCCCAAATACTCTTTGAGTGCAGTGATTTGTTCAGCGTGTGATGAAGCCACCTGAAGTCATAGTAGGAGGAAACATCATGTCCTTTGGTCAGTCAGTGCTCTGGGCCTACTGAAAAATGTCAGTGTGGTCTTTCCTAAAATCATAGCAGTTCTCTGTGAAATGCCTTTCAAGATAAAATATTGCTATTGCTGCATTTCCTCAGGATGCCTTAAGTGACTCTCTGGAGAAAGAGGAATGGGTTAAATTGAAGTGAGGAGTGGCCATTCTGTCATGGACACAAGAGGCTTTTTTTTCTTCTTTTTTTAGCAGCTCAGTGAAGCAAGACATGAAACTCAATTATTTAAAGAAGGAGACACTGTGTCCTGCTGTATTTTGCATGTGATATATGAACTATAATCTATATATCAGGAACACCTCATTAGATATTCAAGATGGATCACACATGGCAAGAGAAATATACTTTTAACCTAGTAAGGAGACCTCATGCAGGTGGAAAGGCTGTGATTCATGATCTGAGATAGTTTTTCAGAGCTAATTAAATGCTACTGGTTCAATTACTTAAAACCTGATCATATATTATTGCTAGCTGAAAAGAAGTTAATGATGGCAAGACATTTTTCTTCCCATGCAAGACGTGACCTGAGCTAAGAAATGATTTATTGTTGGTCATCACAAGAAAAACTTGGAATATATCCCATTATTCTTTTGTGCTTATTAGGAGGAAAATGGTTCTTCTCTCTCTCACTGAGCGCGTTTCTTGAATGGAGAGCGAATTTCTGCATGGCTGTGCTGGATAGTTGAGGGGTGAGGTGTGTTCTAGTGAACCACCAACCACCAGGAGATGTCACTGCAGTTGCATGGCCTGAGAGACAGTGGGCTGGGGAGGTTTCTGATGGTGCAACATGAAGGAGTTTTGGGGTTATTTTGACAATGAGAGTGTCTCAGATGAGCTCCACGTGAAGTCTGCCTTGGCCAAGGCTCCGGGCAAGGAGCTCTCCTGGATTGCAGCGTCCTGTCCAGTCCAACAGGGGGTAATTTTGAGCAGTTAAAGGCTGTTCTGCCACATGTTGGTCCTTAATTTCATGTCATTTCCCCAGGGACAGCTGGAAAGGTGAGTGGCATGGTGCCTGAATAAGCACTGAGCACTTAGGAAGCTAAGCAGCTTCCTAGAAAATCCATGATTTTGGAATTGAGAGAGGGGGGAGGGTAGTTCTGCTCTTTCCTAAACATGCTCAACACCAACTGTGAAGAAATGGTAGATTTCAATTTATTGTCTTTAAATCTGGGGGCTTTGCTGTTCACATTTAGCTGGTGGCTCAGTGAGCTACTGAAATGCTACAGTAAGACCAGCCTCTCATTTTTAGCACAATCTTTTATTCATGGGGAGTTTGTAAAATGTGCCTTTAAATACACCATCCATAGTGCATTATTGTGAGCAAGACAAGACCATAATCAGCCCTGCATGACTTTTTAAATGTACTCAGGTGCCCAAAGTTGCAAGCAGGTGTATTATAATGGGATCTTCTGAAATGCCTGTCTACATTTCCATTTATATAAATACATATATATATATATGTATTTATTTAAGTCTGATTCTAGCTTCCTACCCAAGGTGGAAACATTCTGCTGCACAAAATCTGTGCTTGAACTACTCTTGATAGAGATGTAAGTGTAGCACTGAAATATTCATAAAAAGAACCTACATTAATTCCAGCTTTCTTGGTGCTGACACAGACTCAAATGCATTTTCATGTGCAAGTTCCTAAGCTGTAGAACTTTCCCACGTGGTCGTGTTTCTAAATGAAAAGTGAGAATAAAAGTTGGGTAAGTAGTGTTTTTATTAAGGAATGTGGCTCCCTGCAAAATGTAGCTGGTGAAGTGTTACGAGACACCAGAGGTGTTTGTGCCTGCGACACTGAGGTACCTGTTGGAGTGAACAAAGCAGAGTGGGGGTGTAGTTGGTGCTCACAGTTTAGTGTTAAGTCTGTCCCTTGTCAGGTGAAGTTTGGTCCTTTGGCAGGCTGATGGTCTTTATTTCTGTAATAACTGCTAAAGTTGGAACCATGGAAGTACTGAGAAGTAAAACTCCGTCTTTTTTGCTGATGTTTCTCATTTTACTTTTATTCTGCTTAGTATTGGATCTTAAAATGTCCAGGACCAGAGTCCAACTGAAGTGAGCCATCCTGTGTCCTCGCTTTAGTAATGCATGAACTGATTAAACTTTGGTTCTTCGGGGAGGGGCAGGATGTTCAGTGGTGCCATGGAGTTTGAACCGTGTTTCTTCTGTCCTGTGTCTTGTTTTCTAATCAGACACTCCATTATGCAATGCTACAATGGCTGTCATTGCCACTGGGCATTGCCTGTGTGTGTAATGGGCAGCTGGGCTGGGATTCTGGGACTTAATCCAGCATTCAGACTTAAAAAAGAAATTGTCTTTCTCTTAATTGGAATACCCTACTTTTAAATTGTATTTGGAATTAGACAAGTCTGGGGGCACAGGGGACGTTTCTAAGCATTTGTTTTGCTTCATTTCAACAACAGTCCACAACTAGAACTGCAAAATCATTTAGGCTCTTATTAAACCCTTCTCAGAGAGTGTTAATAAAGCAAAGTGGTGGTGAAGGATGTAACACATCCCACAGTTTCTTCCACATGTGAATGCGAGTTTCTGTGAGAGCTGGTGTTTTAAGGACTTGGGTGATTCCTTTCTTTTCAAGCTGGGAGAACATCAGCTTGTACAATAATGCCTTGCTAAGGGAACCCCAGCATGAGGCCTGCGGGTTTGTTTGGTTTTGTTTGGTTTCACACCATCCTCATCTCAAACCTCTGAGGCACTTCGGGTCTGGCATTCACCACCTCAGTAACCTGCTTTCCTCAGCTTTTGGGGAGCTTTGGTTAAACTGTGCAACTGTTTCTTAGCTCTGTGTGCTGGCATTAATTTGTGTGGTTTGATGTTGCATGGTGAGAGCCTGGTTATAACTGTCACATCGAGAGGAGAAATCCCACTCTGAGTGGTTATGGACAGGTGGAGTCAAGGAGAGGGTTGAAGCTTCAGTCACCACAGAGTTACCACAACCCAAGCAATTATCTGGGAGCAACAGCAGGAACACCTCTAGAGATGCTGGGAGGCAAAATAACCACTCTGTTAATGACTGTCCTCAAGAGGGAACAGCACCAGGAAACAGCTGTAGTTCACTGCATACAGAAATATGGTTTGGTTACCTGGGTGAGTGCAGATGGGAATTCCCATCCGTTAGAATGGAGGTGTGGTGAGTGTTGTGAAGCTTGTTATGTTCCCCGAGGTCTCAGGGAACACTTCGTAATTATCAATCATTTAGAAAAGGGTAAACCCCCTTAATGGGACCTTAATATAAGAGAATAATATGAATACAAATTACCCAACAAATCCCATAGTTCCATTATTAATAGAAAAGCTGTGTTCTCACCTCAGTAAGATCTCTGTGTCCCCTGTCACCTCTTGCCTGGCTCTCAGTTCCTTGTCCCTGTGCAATGATGAGTGCACCCAGGCCATCAGCTGCCACCACGGCCATAAAGGATTGGAACAGTCTGCCCAGGGAAGTGGTGGAGTCACCATCCCTGGAAGAGTTCAAAAAACACGTGGATGTGGCACTTGAGGTCGGGCTTTAATAGTGAAACTGGTGCTGGGTTTGAGGGTTGGACTTGATGATCACAAAGGTCTTTTCCAACCTTAATGACTCTAGGAAGTTTGAGGTGGGAAGGGTTGCAGGTCGGTGTCAGGAGTGAACAGACCCCACTGAGCAGATGGTGTATGCAGGAGTCATGCAGCTGGGGGCAGCTGCACTTAAAACAACTCTTAATTGTTTTATTTTCCTTTTATTTATTTTCATATATACACTTACAGCATTTGTGAGATTAATGATCAGGTGATGTCTTTGAGCAAAAATGCACTATCAGTGGGAGGAATCAATGTCTGACCAATACTCAGGCTGATCACAGACTGGGGAGAAAGAGTGTTTTTCACTGCTTCTTCTACTTTTTTAATGTATTTAAGAATGTTTCCCCTTTCTTAGTGGTTTCCTTGGTTGGGCTTTTTGCAAAGAAGCATGGTAGGAGGAACAACGTTTTTTAAAAAATGGGGAAACGTGGTTGCGAAATAATTCAAAAGAAAGAGTTTCTTTTAGATTTGGCTGGCTCCTTGTTTTATTTTCACTTTGATACAGATGAGCAAACTCCCTTGAGATATTAAAGCTCCTGTGCTAAGCAGTTCCCATGCAGGACAGCTATATGGACTCTCATGTTTGCCATACACAGAGAGGAGAGAATTAAGGATATAGTGGGCTTAGCTTCATTGTTCTACCTTTGATATACAAATAAAATGCAACACTAAGAAGACAACATTTCCACCCCTTTTGGGACAAAAGTAAATCTAAGCCAGCTGTGACATTTAATCACCATTTATAGGATGATTACTTATCAGAAGCAAAGCTTGTAGTTATCTCCTGAGAGCCCATCAGCCACAATAACACTGCAATATAGAGAATTTTTATCACCAGAAAAATCTGTACATACCAAAAATTACTATTTGGTAGTTTAGCTTATTGTGGTGATGGCCATAAGGATGCACATGATGCTAATTTTTGTTTTGTACTATATGTTGTCTAAGGATGATGGTGAAAGAATTATGCCTCCCAATGCTCCTTTCAAAGATGACAAAGGTAGAGAAATGACAAGAGCGGTGAGTGGTTGGGTCTTATGAAAAATGAAGTTTTAAATGTGTACTTCATTGTCTAAATGTTCACAGATGACTTGTCTCCCTATAATAACCACAGAAAATGTGTTGGCAGCATATCACAATTAATAATCCATACCCCTATTTGTGTGCTACAGGCAGTCCAATATTCTCCAGACATATTTCTTACCCAAGCTTATAACTAGATTCAAATCAGATCCTACGTTTGTGCCAAAAATTGAACGGCAGTCATCTCACAGCAAATAATTTTATCTGATTGACTCAAGAGTCTTAAATTCCTAATTTTTCCCAAAGTGAAATTCACTTTAATCCCATATTAACATATTTTCTTTCAGTCACCTGCAAATGAATCCCATAACCTTGCAGAAGGGACTGCACAGACAGTGGAAGGTAGTGTACATACATATTGTTGTAGGTTTTCTTGATCATCTAGATTGTGTAAGATCCTTTAACATTAATTGGGATGAGTTTTCTATCTAGGGTGATGTTGAATTTCTCTTTGAGGGTTTTTTCCACCTCTTCGTCTTCAAGAGTTACAAACTCCACCAGATCCATGTTTTCCTTGTAGTTGTACGTGGTCTCAGTGAACGTCCACCCAATCAGTGCTTGGAAGCCATCGGTGGTCTGGAGGCTGCAGATGGACTTCTTTGTAAAGAGGGAATCCGGGGAGGTCTGGAGGTACGTGCACTGGAAACGGAAATCTTCCACTGTCCGTGGCTCAAGGCTGAACATATAAACCTTCCGGCACTCCTTTTTCTCCAGCAGGTCCGAGTTAGAGAAGCTCTGGTTGGGGATGTACTGTTTCCGTCTCATTTTCTCCAGGTACCAGACGGCGTTTCTCTCCGTGAAGCGGAAGACGCCGGGAGCCTGGGGCTGGTCTTTGCCCGACACGAGCTCCATGGGTTGCCACATCTGATAGGATACACCGAAGCCTCCGTCAACGATGTAGGCTTTGCCATCGATGACCACCTTTACCAGGAGGTGGGTCATGATGGTGGCGTATGCGTTTTGGTGTGGGTTGAACACATACGCTCCCAGGAAGCTGGTGTCGTAGCCCAGGCGCTTCAGGACCCAGCCCAGGAGCTGGTTGTTTTCCATGCACCAGCCCCCCCGTTTCCTCTGCACGATTTTGTTGTAAACATGCTCCAGTTCCAGAGTAATTTTCTCCCCGCAGTGGATGCTGAGGTTTTCGAAGGGAACGGCGCGGATGTGGTGCTGGAATATATCGGTTAGGGTTTCCAAATCTTGTTTTTCAAGGGAGCCTTTGTAGCCAGTTCTTGCAAAATACTCTTCAAGGTTCATGTCACCTGTAAAGGAAGGAATTGCATTTTGGTTTGGTTTCTTTACATCAGTGATTCATGATGCTGTGAAAACTGCCCTGGCTCTGCCAGCAAAGATGCTTTAATCTACTGAACCTCATCAGGGCAGCTCTTAAAGGTACCAAGCATTCATACATATCAAATGGCTCCCCAGGCAAAGAGCAGTGCACGTGAGAGTTTGCTTTTGTCTTAGAGGCATCCCTATAGCAATCAGCTGATGCCTTTTCAACTTCCTGTGAAAGGTGGTGCCTGTGAAAGGGGGATTTGCTGTATTTGCATTGTAACAGTGGGGTTAAGAAGAAATAAAAGATCGTGCTAGGGAGTATGTACGAGGGTTCATGAAAAATGGTTTAAATCCTCTGTCCAGTGCAAGGGGGGTCAGTGGGGGAAGCAGTGTCGTCTGCCAGTTGGAGGGAGGGTAATTTGAGCCAGGATCCACATGCTCTTTATGTGAGTCTGCCACTGATCGACGTGACAGTGAATTGCTTGGTCACTACATGTTGCTCTTCCACCATTTACAAAAAGTTAAGATGATACTCCTGCACACTTTGTGAAGTGTCAAGTTTTATTCAGATAATTTTAACTGGAAAAACTCTGACCTTTGAAAGAGTCACAGACCGCTGAGTCTTGTGTCTGCTCTGAGTATTGTAGAAACTCATTTTGGCGTTGGAATAATGAATCCTGATGGAGGTGAGTGACCCCAGAGAGAAAGAGCACATCTGCCCTCCATCTCACAGGGTGCCCTGAAAATGAACATGGGCTGTTTCACACCTCTCTAGGCCTTTCTCAAAACTCACTTTAATCCTTCCAGAGAAGGTGTGACTGAGAACTATTCAAGCCTCACACAGTGCAACCTCGGCCTGTCCTGACTCCAGCAGTGCCCATCTCCTGGCCTGCCTTGGCAGGACTCCTCATGAACAAGATTTCTGGATGAGGAACTACTCAGCTTCATTTCTGTCTTCTAATACCGTGAAAAGCCACTCACAGTCATCTGGCTTTCACAGTGGCCCATCACGATCTCTGGCCACTGCCACGAGCTGGATCCTTGGTAGGTATCCAGTAGATGTTGTCTGTAAAATACACCAGAGATCATCTGCTTGGGTCTGGAGCTGGGCACAAAATGTTTCGAAGGCTTGAGCCTTTGCAAAGAGAGCACTGAGCATTTCAGCAGTTCAGAGCTAGCTCAAAACCTTAGCTTCTTGCCAACACACAAAGCTACTTGGAGATCTTTTGTGCATACACGGTAAGCAGAGGCTTAGACACGTCTTAGTGACTCAGGAGGACTCTTGTATTCAGGTGAATTCAGCGGTGAACCGCTGAATGTTTGCTGCAAACCTGAATTTCTCAAGATGACTCTCAGTGCCAGATTTGTGCTGTGCACGTACCTGGCATAGAGGCAGCTGTCCAAAGTGCACAGAGAGCACCATCAAAAACTACATGTTACCTGCTGCAGAAAGGGATTTCTGCAGTGATATCTCAGTGTACTGTTGGAGGATAGTCTCAATGTAGTGTTTGTTAAGTGTAATGTAAGATTCAGGGCTCTTTTGGTTTGCAGAAACCAGATGTTTCTGCAACATCTCTGATTGTGAATGCTAAACAGATCACACCTGCATAAAGCTGGTTCTGCAGTTTATATTATTTGTAATTTCTCTCTGCAGCTCCACAGTGTGATTGATCAGCATTAGACCTGGACTGTAGGAGATGAAAGCTGCTGTTCTTTTGAATTGTGGGGAGGTCAGATGAAAAGGCAGGTATGGAAAAGGTAGCCCCCCTAAATGTAGCTATGATTTATGCAAAGAAAAACATCAGCAGAAGAACTTTAAAGAGCTGTTTCTGAATGTGCAAATGAAGGTGCTCATGCAAAAATATTCCTTACCAGGACTATACACACTATCAGCAATTCCACTATTAAAAACATGTTGTCTTCCTTTCTCTTAATACCTCAGCACATGGATTTTCTGGGTTATACAACACATAGTTTGTAATTTTTTTCTTAAGTTGTTTTTATTCCCATAAAGCAGAATCTATTGATTATTAGACTGCACTTTTGCTTCCTTTGCACTTGCAATACTTCTAAACAAATTTAAAAATCTAAAAACGTGACTTCCATCAAGAGGTTGCAGTTCTAAATTTGTATCTAGTATTTATATCTAGTATTGTATCTAAACAAAAGAATCTATGTCTCATAGTCAATTGAAGCCTCTCCTGAAGAGTGAAAGGTAGAAGAATTGAAATTGCATGTCCCTTTTTTTGCCCTCTTTAGGAGCTCCTGTTTAGCAGGTGCTATTTTAGCTCTATATCCACACATATTTAGAACATGTTTCCTAGAGAATACTGCATACGTTACTGCCCATGACCTTTACCAACAAAAGGAAAGAAGTGGGTTTGTTGGTTTGTTTGGAGGGATTTTTAAGAAAATAAAAACTTACCTCTTAAGAGATCCTTTGTTATTTATTGAGGTATTCAGTTTCTGGGTGGTTTATTCCAGTCGGTGAAGCCAGGAGTGGATACAGATTGTGAGGGTTGTCTTTCTAAGCTCTGCTGGCCCTCACTCCTGAATCTTAAATTCCAAGAAAGGGCAGAGTCCACCCAAAAGGAAGGCACATTTTTGGACTTCACTGATCCATGAGCAAATTAAACTTTGTTTCTTCTCTATTAGTAGATGTTTATGCCTTCCCCTGGTTAAGACCAGAATGAACTTGTTTTCCACATAAAATAACTACAGTAGGCAGTTGCAAATGGCTTTGTAACTTTTTAAAATTAAATTATTTTTTAATTAAATTATGGTTGCTTTGCAAACCAGCACTTTGTGGTGGAGGATGATATCTGTGTCCTGGTGGGTCCACTGAATTGCCAAGGCTCTGCAGGCTGGGTGTTCCCATGCTCCATGGATGCACACAATGACACCTCTTTGCCCTTTTTAATCTGTTCAAATGTTCAGCTGCAGCAGGTGGTTATTTTGGAGCTGCCACACCTAACAAATACTTATTTGCACAGAGTTATGCATTTCCTCCTCCTGCAAAGTGTTGCAGTGCTCCTTATTTAATTCTCTCCCTGCCAAGCACGTCCCCTCTTCATTTGATGGGATTGGAATGTCAAAGCAAGTCCTTTTTGGGAAGGCAAAGAGCACATTAGGCTGCATCTGGGAAAGCACCTGAGTTTTAG